AGTTTGAAAATGGATTTTTAGGTGAAGATGCTGATGAAGTTGGAAGAGATGATATTGAAAGAGAAGATGATTCTGAATGTGATCTTGACGAGGACCCTGAAGTTGACGATATAGCCAATCCCTCAAATGCTAACAAGGATACTGATTGTCCTAAGGCTGGAGTAAACACTTGTTCAGGAAGTGAAAAAGTCCATACCTCTACCAATGATGCACCTAGTGCTCAGGATGAATTTGATGAGGATTTTCATCTTTCCCTTCAAATACCATGAAGGATGCCAATGATCCAAGTAACTGTGTTGAGGAGAATGGAACAGGCAATCTTGATCAACAGAATCTTGAAATCAATGAAAGTGAGTCTGGCGAGTCATGGATTCAGGGTCTTTCAGAAGGTGATTATTCTCATCTTAGTGTCGAGGAACGCCTCAATGCTCTAGTTGCCTTAATTGGTATTGCAAATGAAGGGAACTCTATTCGTGCTGTGCTGAGGTAATTTTTAAATCGCAGTTTTGTCTGATTTGTTGTTCCTTTGATCATAAAGCCACCATTCATTTTCCTCTTTGTAATTTGATTTATGAATTCACAGGATCGTTTAGAAGCAGCAAATGCTCTTAAAAAGCAAATGTGGGCTGAGGCTCAGCTGGATAAAGGCCGTCTGAAGGAAGAAATCATTATTAAAATGGATTTTCCATCTGTGATGGGAATCAAGGCCGAAGCTCAACTGCATAATTCTGCATTGGAGGGAAGCCCAAGTCCATTTCCAACCGCTGATACTAAAAATGATGAGGCAGAAGACAAAAAACCCTTGCCATGTTCACAAAGTGTTCAGAATGACCTCAATAGTTATCCTGCTGAAAGGGCCTTGGTACTTCATGAGGCTTCCATTGGACCAGATAACTTCTCTGCTCAGCAGCATGGATATGCTTCAAAAAGATCACGATCACAGTTGAAATCATACATTTCCCACAGAGCAGAAGAAATGTATGTGTACAGGTCTTTACCTCTTGGGCAAGATCGTAAACGTAACAGATACTGGCAGTTTGTTGCTTCTGCTTCTAAAAATGACCCTTGTTCTGGCCGGATATTTGTTGAATTGCATGATGGACATTGGAGGCTGATTGATTCTGAAGAGGTATGCCATGCTATTTACAAAGAGAACCCTGGGGTTATATGTTGGGATGAATTGTTAGTGCTAGAATAAATTGTTTAACTTTTGTATCTTACATCTGATCGCTTTTCTTTTATGTTTTCAATCAACTGCCTTGTAGGCCTTTGATGCCCTTTTGGCATCTTTAGATGCACGAGGAATTCGAGAATCACATTTACGGATAATGTTGCACAAGATTGAATCTTCCTTCAAAGAAAATTCCCGCAGGAGTTTGCATTGTACCACAGCTATTGGCCGAAGTGGAAGCTCTACTGAAAATGAAGCTTCAGAAATAGATTCCAGTCCCAACTTTCCTGCCAGTTTCGACGGTCATAGCAATGCAATTTGTGGATTGAACTACGATGCATCGGAGAAATTATCTTCTTTCAAAATTCAGCTTGGGAGGAACGAAAATGAGAAAAATGCAGCCCTGAAGAGGTACCTAGATTTCCAGAGTTGGATGTGGAAAGAATGTTATAATTCCTCAACTTTGTTTGCAATGAAATACGGGAAGAAGAGATGTGAGGACCTGTTGGCTGTTTGCGATTCTTGCCTTGGCTCTTATATCCCAGAAGAGATGCATTGTAGTTACTGCCACCAGAATGTTGGATCAATTAACAATTGTTTCAATTTCTCAGAACATAAGGTTCGGTGCAAAGAAAACCAGAATTTAGACACCAAGGTTACACATACACCCGATTCTTCTCTTCCCCTGGGAATCAACCTTCTAAAGTCCTTGTGTGCTCTAGTTGAGGTGAGCAGGCTGAAACCCGCTAATGATTTTCCTTATAAATTGGAACTTTTTAGTTATAATATTTTTGTTTCATATTTTCCCTTTGATAGGTATCTGTTCCACCTGAAGCCCTTGAATCAATTTGGACAGAAGACCATAGAAAGATTTGGTGCAGGAAGCTGAATGCGTCTTCTTCTGCAGATGAACTACTAAAGGTTTTCATTTGTTTGAACTTTGAACTCTGAAGCAGGATCAAATGTATCGATGTTTCTTGTTCGATGCAATTTTATTATGCTTCAGCTCTCTTCTAACCACTGCTGTAGCCATTTTGCATGTCCCTAATACTGTGTTCTATTTGATGCTTAATTCGTCGGCCACTGATATTACATTGTCTATCAAATGGTTGAATATGTTTTCTAGATATAGTTCTGATCTCAGTCTTACATTAAATGTCATGTTGGTGTTGCAGATGTTGACTCACCTTGAGAGTGCTGTAATGCGAGATTACTTATCGTCCAACTTCGAGTTGACAAAGGAATTATTGGGTTCTACTCTGCAATCGGAGAGTGATTCCACTGAGTCTGTCCTTCCATGGATACCCCAAACCACTGCAGCTGTAGCTTTACGGCTTTTGGAGCTTGATGCGTCCATAATGTATGTAAAGCCAGCGAAAGTTGAGCCTTCCGAGAATAAAGAAGCTAGGGCATATATAGTGAGTTTTTTAATCCCTTATCGCTTGTGGGTATAATTTAATGCGTACAAAAATGGTTAAAACTTCTCTCAGTTTTGTGCTCTGGTCATTCTATAATGTTATTGCAGGCTACACTATTATTTAATTTTTGAAGTGCATGCTAATCATTATTGTCAAATATGCAGAAGCTTCCTTCGAGAACCTCTTTTGTAATCAAGAATAAAGAGCTTGAATTGAAAGAACTAAACCATGATGAGCCCATGAAAGGAGAAAACTTTACGGACGTTGGCAGCAGCAGGCGCAACTATAAACGAGGAAGAGGGAGTCGCGAACAAGGATCTGGTAGACACTGGCAGAGGAGAGGTTCTGGTTCCAAATACGATTCTGGCAAACGAAGTGCTAGAAGAAACTATAACTTAACTCTTCATTTCAATCAGCAGGGCCAAAGAACAAATGGTCAGTGTCCTGGTCATGGCCGCCGAACAGTTAGAAAGAGAGCGGAAAGGAGAGTTGGTGACAATATGACCGTGGCTTGTATGGCTGATGTGGTTAAACCTAAGACCAGTGCTGTATCTGTGAGAGAATTGGATGAAGAATGGAGGGATGGAAACTTCAGGACTATGCAAGTGGTAAATCCTCCTGATAGTAACAGCGCCGAAGAGTCAGATGTCAATGCACAAGATGAGGGATATGAGCAAGGAAACTGGGAGTTGGATTATAATGGTGCCTCTAATGGTTGGAATAGGGAGCCGATTGTAGCTAGCGAAGAAGATGATGATTACGAAGATGGTAATGGATTTGAGCAGCAAGGAGAAGAGGAGGAAGATTCAGATGGAGATCTAGAGATGAGTGAGGCACCAGATAAATTAGCAGGAGACAAAACTAGAGATGAGGATAGGTCAGACTTGTCAGTTTCCGAAGATTATAGCGAGTGAACTGACATTCGAAAAGAAATTTGCCGGTGCATGAACTGCATCATCTTCATAAAGTTATAGCTTCAAAATCGACTGAATCGGGTCAGGTCGAGTCGGCAGGGTTACCAAAAGTAGCAGCTCGGCCCCCTTCACTCCTCTATATAAGGTTTCAGTAGTTATATAGGGAATTAGAGGTTAACGCAGATCTGAAATGCAACTACTGATTAGAAAGGGTTGCCAACATATAATGTTTCACGTTTAAGGTTTCCTTAAAATATCGCGGCTTCTTGTATAACAGAAAAATTATGGGTTAATTACTCCTAAGGGCACATAGTTATTAGTTTTGGTAACATTCACTTTAATAAAGTTTACAAATGTCAATTAAAATATTATTAGAATCAGTTTATTTCCTTGTTAAGATTGAAACTAATGTCTAATATAAAATCTATACATTTTATTAATCTTAAATAAAAAATAATTTTATAAACTTTATTCTTGATATTTAAAAATATTGTAAAATTAATTCAGTTTTGTAATATTGTCAAAGTAAATAAGTTTATTGGATTAGAATAGTAAGTGGATAATTGAATTTTATAATAAAATAAAAAAATATTTTTAAAATGTTATACCAAAAAGTAACATGAGTGATAATATTTTTGGAGTAGAATAAGTAATTTAAGAAAAGAATAAAGACTATAATGATAAAAACTTTAAATATGAAAGCTGAATTATTTTAAATTATGATTAGTAGGCATGCATAAATCTTACTGTATAATAATATTTTAATTGAATAACATGTTTGCATTGGCTTGTTTATTACCGAACTCATGACTTAGGAATACTTTATTTACATTTATTAATGAAATATTAATAGTTTATATTTTCCTCCATTTCTATTTATGGAGCCAAAATGCTACTTTGTTAAGGAAAAGATTTCAATGATTACTTTGATACGGCCATGTTTCGACCATTAATTTGGTAAGGTGAAGCTAATAGTTTGTAAACTATGGACAATAACAGGAATTGTTTTTTTGTAAAATCATGTACAAGTCTGAATTGAGGTGGGGGGAATTAGTAAATTTGTAAGAAAAACATGAAGACATAAACGGGTGGCCATGAGTTTATAAACAGAAAAAAGAACAAGTGTATGGCCAGGGGGGTTGCATGTGTTTATATAAACAAATGTCGTTCGTATTTAGATGGGTAATAATTGCTGGTAGTACCGGCATCCGGTTGTTTCCTTTTGGGCCATACAAGGATGGAGAGGACGAAGTCCCTTATTTTCCTTATATGGTTCTTGTTATTGAAAGTCAGTTTGTTGTTTGGGGTGGATGCTTCCCAAGCCAAGTTCAAGCTCATCCACAGGCACTCACCTGAGCTAGGAGACCATCCCAAATCCACCCTCGGACCCCAATCAATGGAAGAGAACGCATCAAACAACTGGTGCACAGCGACTACGCTCGATCACGAACCATTCAACACAGGCTAGCTCGGCCTGGGCGGAGGACCTACGAGCACATGGCCCCCAAGCACGACCTGGTGGAGCTGGCAATGCGCTCGGCGGCCGATTTAGGGACCGGCCAATATTTCATTTCCATGAGAATCGGAACACCACCAAAGAAGTTTTTAATGTTGGTGGATACAGGCAGCGATCTTACATGGATTAGATGCAACAATCGAAACAATAACTGTTCCAAAGACGGGGAGTCGCGGGAGAGGATTTATCATCCTAATGAATCGCGTACCTTTCGGCCCATCCCATGTTCCTCAAGCTATTGCAGAAACGAGCTCGTGCCTTTTAACTCCTTGAATGATTGCCCTAGGCCAGATGCTCCATGCAGGTACGATACTCAGTACGTAGATGGCCAAAGCGTGAGCGGAACCTTCGGCAATGACACCATTACAATCAAGATGAGAGGAAACGAAAAGGTGAAACTAGAGAATATAACCATCGGGTGTTCCGAGTCAATAAGCTCACACAATTTCGAACTCGACGGTTTATTAGGATTAGGCTGCATCCTTCAGTCCTTCACAGGGCAAGCAATAACACGGTACGAGAAGAAATTCTCCTACTGCTTGGTGGATCATTTGAGCCCCAGTAATCTAGCCAACTTCCTTGTCTTCGGCAGCGGAGATAATCAACTCCCGAACATACAAGAGACGGAGCTGCTCCTCGGTGCATGGTACTGGAGCACACATTATCATGTAAATGTCAGCGGCATCTCACTCGACGGCAAAATGCTTGATATCCCATCAGATGTGTGGTTATACAATCCTCGTGCTAGACAAGGTGGGATGATTTTGGACACTGGTACATCGTTAACGGCCCTCGCCGCACCGGCATACGACAAAGTCATGAAAGGTCTTATTCCTTCTATATCCAGATTCCAGAGAGAGACTAGAGAATGGCCTGGTCAAATGCCGGGACAATGTTTCAATTCTACGGGGTTCGAGGAGACTATGGTGCCTAGACTGGCGATTCATTTCGCAGACGGAGCTAAGTTCAAGCCGCCGGTGAAAAGTTATGTGATCGACGAAGTAATCGGGATTAAGTGCCTTGGGTTTATCAAGTTCGATTGGCATGAGGTTTCCATTATTGGCAATATCTTACAACAAAATTATTTCTGGGAGTTCGATATTTGGAACCAGAAGTTAAGATTCGCTCCTTCTAGCTGCACATTGAATTGACCATCACAATCGTTTTTCAAATTAAATGTGAGTTGATGATCTGAATTTGTACTTTTAAATGTTATTTTTCCTATAATTCATTCAAATGAACAAATTGCTACACCTCCGTCACTAGCTAATAACATCGTGGAATTGCATCCACCAATCCCAGTTAATTCGTATGAACAATATTATTTTTATTTATGTATTAAAACTACAAATTTTTCCTTTGAAAATCGTTGATAAAAAAGTGGAGTTGTAACGGATTTTAATGGTTAATCTTTTTTATTTAGATAGAGAGTCGTAGTCGGTTATTTTATAGGGGAGAATAGAGTAAAAAGATTTAAGATGATGATGAATAGTCAGAGAGAGAGAGAGAGTCCCTAAAGAGAATATTCTATGTCGAGCCTTTCATGGTAAGTTATATATTGACCCTTAGTGTTGATGTTAGACGTAAGGTGATCATGACTATTTTTAGGTTGGCATGCTAAATAGAATTAGTTGTCAAATACTATAGTATAAATCATGTCGGTTTGTTAGAGGTCACATCAAGCGTGTGTAGCTATTCAGAGGACATGAAATTTTAGAGGTTTTGAAGAACTCTAAAGGATAGATCTAAAAGCTTCGAAGAATTTTGGAGGCCTTAATGTTTGATAGGTGGATAAATGGCGGCGGAGTTATAACTTTGATAAGAGATTTAAAAGAGATATAATAAAAATATTTAGTTTGTTTTTTGATATTAATTAGTAAAGATAATCCACCAAAATGATGATCATGAGATAATTATGCTAATAGTTAAACAAACTAGGTATAATTCAAAAATTCTAAAAAGAACAATAATAGGAAAAAAGATGGAAGTGAGAAATTTGAACTAAGAGCTGGTGAAAAGATTTGATTGATAAAAATATGAGGATTCAATTAATTTTTTTTAAAGTTTGAAGACCAATTTATAATTTGACCATAAATGTAGCCAGTGTTACTGAATTAACCCAAACAATGCACAAGTTTATTCAAGGTAGATTTGCTAGAACCCCACTAAATGCAAAACCACTCGAAAGCCTAAAACTCTTCCATCTCAAAACACAAAAGCCTCTAAAATGTCCGCCGCCACCCGAGCGACCGCAACCACCAGACTTGCCGGTGCAACCAAGCCCATGCCTCGACCCGCTTGCTCACCTTTTCGGATCTCCAAGCAAAACCCGTTCCTTTCTCGCATTTTCAGGTAATGTATATTGATCTCTTTTTTATAAAAATGTTCAGGGAGTAAATTAACGGTATATTTCTTATAATAAAATTGAAAAAAGGTCACCGGTGCAGATGAGTTGCTGTGTGGAAACGCTATTGCCATATCACACAGCCACTGCTTCGGCTTTGCTGACTTCCATACTCTCTTCCTGTTGCCGGAGAGCGGGTTGGACCGCTGAAGGTACTTCTATCCACTCTTTTATTCATTTTGATCTGTTGAATTATTGGGTTTTAAAGCATTCCAAGTTTTAGCTACGTAGAAAGTTAGCAGTTTAATGATTAATGAATTTTGAATTAAGATATAATTGTAGACACAGACCGAAATAAACATATATATATATATATATATATATATATATATATATATATATATATATATTGTATAAATATTATTATTATTTTATTAAACTAACACGTTTTACATTTGTTTCATTTCTGTATCAGGCCCAACTTACATTACACGTGGCCCAGCATAATACAATGGCCCAACAAGCCCACTACACGCCCCAAGCCCAAACCGGTTCAAGACCAGTTGAAGCTAGGGTTTCCAGAACCCTAGCCAGCTTCTCTCCAGCGCCGTTCTCCCCTTCAACGAGAGATCCCACAGCCGCACGCATCTCAACAGCACCAGATTTCTCGGGAACCACCATCGCCACGCCGGTCATTTCGCTCAACAAACAACAACCAACACACATTAGATTTCTAGTTAGATTAGGAGTCTAAAAATAGAATTTTTGTAAACTATAAATAAGAGTAATCAACGCCATTTGTAACACACAGTAGATATACGAAATACAAATAGAAAAATTCGAGCAATTTTAGAGCGAAATCAGAGCAATTTTTGTAATTTTTCGAAAAGCAATAAAGATCTACACGCCCTAAAGGAGTTTTTGAAAAAACCGACTTCATATTCGAAGAGAGGGAGAAAAAAGCTTTTTTTTTAAAAAATAATTTTTTACCACCCCGGCGCGGCGGCGGGACGCCGGATTCTGGGTTTTGGGGCGGCCGTGTTCTTCACAATGAAGAACACGGTTGAAGCTTTGAGAGAAAAGGAAGAAAGGAGGGAGGGGGTGTACGTTTGAAAGGAAGGGAAATGAGGGATTTTGGTATATAAGTGGTATTTATAGTACCCATTTAGCCGACACACGACCCGATCCAATACCATGTGACCAGCGTGTTTCTGTTTAAAAAGGGGTAAATTGTGCTTTTGGTCCCTATAGTTTTAAAACTTCTAATTTGCCCCCTAAATCTGATTTTTCACGTTAATTTGCTTCTAATTTGACCACCCGATTAACTTTCATTTCAATTTAGTCATTTTATTATTTGTATTATTTTTTATTTGTTCATTTTATTTTTTTCTTATTTCCTATTATTATTATTATTATTTTATTATTTTGTCTATACGTTATTATATATATTTTTATTTATTTCTATTTGTTTTTGTCCTTTTATTTTTTTTATTTTATATCTTATTATATATTTTTTATTTATTTGTTTTTACGTTTATGTATATATATATATATATATACTTTTATTGTCTTTTAGTTAAATATAATTATATATATGTATTATTAACCTAACTTGGACTATATCTTCTAGAGGAGGCCCGCTTTTGTCTTTAACCAAACCTCCTCTAACTTTCGGTAGAATAATTGGGGGTAGTTTTTATTACTTTTATTTTATTTTTATTTTTTTATGTATATATATTATTTTTATTTATTTGTTTTTATATATATATATATATATTCTTTAACCCACTTTTCTTTTTTATTTATTTTCTTTCTATTGTTATGTACACATATTTTATTATTTTTTCTTTTTCTTATTTAATTTAAATGCTATTTTTTTTCATTCTTTACTTGTTTGTTTTTTTCTCTGTTTTTTTATAATTTATTTATTTTACCTATCTTTTATTTATTTATTTTATCTTATTATTTATTTTATCTAACACTTTTCGTGACTTTTTAAGGATATTTTCAAATCAATCTAAGGTAAGTAATTTTGGATCGTTATTTTACCTTTTAAGTTAAACATTCAATTTTCTTAATTAAAGACAACTGGAAATTATGTAGTACCGAAAGGGCAGTTCAAGGGTGCTAATCATTCCTTGATTGTAACCGACTCCTGAATCTGACATATCACTGGTAAGATGTAGATCAGGTAAGAAATAAGGTATATGGTCAACCTATTTGCTTTAAAATAAATGATCAGTGGCGACTCCAAATCATTTTTCCTAAGTCGAAGCCCAATTCTGGGCCCACCCGAAAGACGGTTGCGACAGCTTGGCGACTCCGCTGGGGACCGGTAAGTGAGTTAGGCTAAGGTAATTTTCAATTGTCTTTTTAACGAAAAGAGTAAGTTTAAATTTTAAGGTAACATTTCAGTCCTTATTATTTATTTTTGATTATATTTTCGAGTAAATAGTTGTACTAACCGTTTTCTAATGATTTCAGCCCTTAAAGATTTTTCATATAAGGCTCTAAACCCGAGCTCTGAACTCGTTTTAAGTGGGGGTAAAAGCGACACCTTCGTGTGAATTTATTCTCCGTATGAGCATAAGGGAATGTTTCCTCCCGAGTTTAACTTAGTCCACACAAGCTTGTAATGGGCTTAAGACTAAGGGCCTGAAATGCCCAAGGGGGCACCGGCAAAGAGAACTCGGGTACCATTTTTTAGAACCTAAACCGAGAGACTATGGAGAAATAGAGCCTACCCCGAAACCCCATTTCAATCCCTAGGTTGTTTTTGCCCTAACTATGCTGCTTGATTTTTCTTTTTACCTTTTCTACTCTCATTACTATTTTTCTTATTTTACTAACTTTTTGCTTTCATATTTTTTTATTATCATTTGCATCATTAAAAAGAGGTGTTGATCCACCAAAAAAATGTTCGTTAAACATAAATAAACTGCATTAATGGACAAAGGGGTTATAATACAAGAGATGAAAAGCTCAAAAGTCTAGCTATGGTAAGAAAAGACTCGAAATGGACCGGGTTTACACCAAGCACGTAAGTCAACTTTTCCAAAACGAGATGGCAAAAGTTACAGGGGAAAGACAAAAAAAAGGTTACTGACATGGAGAGTCCTTCCAAAGATTACGAGAATAAGATGGCGAAACCCTGAGCTGGATGACGCTGTTGACAAATTCAAGAAATAAGCAAACGAACTTCACAATAGAGGGCTCCAATGGCGTTTCCATTAAGGAACAAGCTCAACAGAGAGTGAAAGCCGGTGATGCAGTCATTTGAGACATTTTGGGGAAAATAACTCATCACTTGCACGACTTATCCAGAGGAGCCGGAACAGTTTGATAGGGCATTCGACTAGCAACAGAAAAAGGCTATAGACGAATCAACCATCCCGAAGTTGTTCGGGATCTATACCATCAAAATGTTTTTGTCTCTTAAAGATGTAACACTTTTGTCCCCAATAAGGATTATTTATAATAACAAGCACATTTTTTGGATCATTGCCTCGGACATTTCATGCATTCTTGCATATTATGCATTATTTTTATTTTCTTTTCCGTTTTTTCATTTCATCCACATTAACTAACAAGAGACGTCTCATAAAAGGGAACAAACAAGCTTTGAAAGCAAATTGAATATTACCTGAAGCGTGTCTGAAGATCCACAGCGATGAATAAGATACTAGCGCGTGTTAGTAAGATCGAGAAAATTCAAGAGCAACTCATAGAAACCCAACGAGAGATGAATCATCAAACAAGAATATTTCAGGATGAATCCAGAGAACATATGACCAGGTTAATGGATAT